TCTATCCCTGACTGGCATAATGAAAATTGCTTATGTGATGAAATGTGTGCAGAGTTTGGTGATTGTTGCCTTGACTCCCCGTATTATAACTTGACAGTGCATAAATACAATGTAAACAAGTACCAGTGTATCAGCTTGGTACAATACGGGGACATCTATATGAAAGGGACCTGTCAAGAAGGTTGGCAGGACGAAGAAGTGTCTAATCAGTGTCTCTCCGGCTCACCTGCCTCTGCCGGTAGAGAAGACCCGGTTGGTAATCTGCCAGCCACTAGCCTGGCCTCCTCCCGCACCTACACCAACTACTATTGCGCTATCTGCAACAACGACACCCACGCTCTGAGGGTGTGGTCGGCGCGCTGGGAGTGTGGAACTCTCAGCAAATATAGCCAGAACTTGACCCAGGAATACGTGATCTCCAGACTAGTGTTCAACAGTTATGAATGGGGAGTGAACCTGGATAATAATGGGGCAGTAGAATTTCAAAAATGTTCTATACTCCCTGTAAGACCGGAAGAATTGATTAATGTAACTAGAAGCTGCACTCCAGCAATTAAAACTTGTGAAAGAGAGTGGGAAGGCACTGAAGTGGCAGATTCGTGTCAGTCCTATACGGCTGTGGTGTATAACCATACATTGCCTTACAAAAACCCACACTGCGCTAAATGTAATAATGTCAGTCAAGAACAACTTAATTGTATGAGCCAAGACCTGTTAAGGATTGGAAAAAAAACATTTTTTAGCTCACAAGCCTTCTCTCTCTTATTCGACTTTCACGATTCCAGCGGCAGTAACACTGTAGGATCTACTTCATCTTGCCAGAGTTCTGAAATATGGGACCACTTCTTTGGAAAGTGTAGGAGCATTGTATGTGGTAAACCGAATCATGTGTTTAAATATGGCAAATGTGTTCCAAACGACAGTGGTTTCAATGCCACCGTAAATACCGATCCCAACACAACTCCCTCTCCCACAACATCAACCGATAGTGCTGTTATTGGTAAGAACAACACTCCCATTATCTTCCCGGATGTTAACGGATCCATCATCTTCCCCGGCGATACCAGTTACAACACGTCGGTATATACCACTTCACCGCTACCCACCACATTCTCTGTCTCCAACACGGCTGTATCGTCGAATGAATCTTACAAATTTCTTGACTGCAACAAGATAGTGTTATCTCACGATGAATTCGTCATGTATGAGAACAGAACCGTGCTTGTGGAGCCTTACAATCGAAGCTACATAATGGGGGAATATGAGTTGACAGAAGGTGGCGTCTTGGTGTGCTCGCCACAGACACCAACAGAAAAGTTCTCCCAGGTGATGGGTTGGGTGACACTGGCAGGACTTGGGCTGTCCTGTCTATGTCTTCTGCTTCACTTAGCAGTCTTTCTTCTAGTAGCGGAGCTTAGGAACTTATCTGGAAAGAACCTGGCATCTCTTTGCTTGGCTCTTCTAATTTCTTATATTGTCTTCATCTTTAATGTGTTCGTCAAACCAGGTCAGGAGTGCTTTGTTTTAGCTGCTGTTATGTATTACTTTTTCCTTTCATCCTTCACTTGGATGAACGTAGTAGCTTTCGATATCTGGTACACTTTCCACCAAACCAAAACAGATTTACGAGTGATTAGTGGGAAACAACGGCAGAAATTCCTGATGTATTCTCTGTACAGCTGGCTATTACCAGCCGTCGCTGACCTCATCGTTGTCATGGTTGACATTAAAAAACCTTCTGGCATCCCAGACGATTACCTTCCCATCCTGGGCCAACGCTGGTGCTGGTTCGGTCATCGCAAGGCCCTGCTGATATTTTTTGCCATTCCTATAGTAGCTATCATTGTCGTCAATTGCGCTTTTTTCATAAGTACTGCGAGAATAATTGCAGAAACCACCCTCTCTACCTCAGCCATGACGACCAGTCCACACCATAAGAACCAATACAAGCTATACATGAGACTGGCCGCTCTTATGGGATTTACATGGATCAGCGGCATCGCAGCTGGCTACTTAGACTTGGAAGCTGTCTGGTACATCTTTGTGGTACTCAATACACTGCAGGGAGTCTTCATCTTCCTGGGTTTCACCTGCAGGACCAAAGTTTGGCGGGCAGTGAGTTTCACCTGCAGACACCTCATGCAGCTTGGAGCTTCACTTGTGGTGGGTCATGGCCGCTCTGGTAGTACCACTGTGGAGCTTAATGATACTCCCAATCATCACTCATCCCCAGTCACCACTCTTGACGGAAGTTAGTTGCCCTCAGTGGGTACTAACTACACTCCACTACCATCACCTCCTCCAGCATTCATCCATGCCTCGTGTCTTTAGTCGTACCATGACGTTCATCACTTCTATCGGCGGATATGGATCCACAGGAAACTTGCATCCACATACGACAAACTGTACTTGTAAAATATAGACTAATTATTAATTGCCAGATGTCATTGTGTATGCCAGATTTCATCACTTGCATTAGATAGTAAAACATGTGGCTGTCATGTCACTCGTGTTAATTATAATCAGTGGTGCTATCAGTAGACAATTATATTAAACGTAGATGTTATCCCCTGTGGTAGATGTTATCATCTATGTTAGATGTTATTAACGTCTGTGCTAGGTACTCTAGTGTCATAAATTCGCCTGTATTAGGCGTGCAATAACCTCGATATCGAGACTACAAGAATTTAAATTGGGCCATCAAGTTTATTAAATGTTATATTATTACTTGTGACAGACATTGTCACCTGCTGTAACTGTAATCTATGTCAGATGTTATTAAATATGATAATGTAACCTGTGTTAAAATGTGTAAAAATCTCATAATCACCTTTGTTCCTGTCAGTCGCCTAAAATGCTACTTTTAAACTATATTGATGATGTTAGCTTTGGTAAGTACTCTGATCATATTTTTTTTTAATGTGTAAGGTGCCATTCATATGCATTAATGGTTTAATTTTGGTTTGACCTCAAACTACCATGGTCGACATTATTGAATTATCTCTTCTAAATCATGCATAAAGTCAAAAGTATCTACATCATTGATGTTTAAAACACATGTGCAACAGTTGGGTATCTTTAACTACTACACCTGCTGCCTCTGTATTTGACTGGAGAAGCCTACTGTTTAGGCAAAATCTTTCAATGCTAAAGACACCTGACTGTTTCACATGTGTCTTAAAAATCAGTTTGTCAGTATTTTATACCATTTTCAATATCTAAATCGTGACCAAACTTATTACTGTGAGAAGTAAGGTCTTCTCCAGGTGTTTGTGAGAACTAATGTCTTCTCCAGGTGTCCATGAGAACTAATGTCTTCTCCAGGTGTCCATAAGAACTAATGTCTTCTCCAGATGTCTGTGAGAGGTAATGTCTTCTCCAGGTGTCTGTGAGAGGTAATGTCTTCTCCAGGTGTCTGAAAAGTCATGTCTTCTTCAGATGTCTGTGAGAGGTAATGTCTTCTCCAGGTGCCTGTGAGAGGTAATGTCTTCTCCAGGTGTCTGTGAAAAGTCATGTCTTCTCCAGATGTCTGTGAGAACTGTCTTCTCCAGGTGTCTTTGAGAGGTGATGTCTTCTCCAGGCATCTGAGAGGAGTCATAAAGCATTAGGGGTAATGGGAGAGAGTCATGTGGGAACCAAGAAAGGAGAGGCCAGCTCCCATTCCTTGGCTCACGAGCCTCTCGCCAGGGTCATGGAACCTCCCTTGAGGTATTTGTGTAAATAATTCTATGTATATGTATATTTGCTAGCCAAAATGCCATGTGTATTTACTCCAGGAATGCTTGTGTACATACTAAATATAGATTTACCCAAATGTAATCCTGGCCAAGGCTACAATCAGGAAAATAACTTTTGTTGTTACTGGTTCACGAATTTACTTTTTGTTTCTACTGGGTTACGTATTTACTATCTTGAAAAAAGTACCAAACCTGAATAGATCATATAGTGCTAATTGGTTCAGGAAGCTTACCACAGTATGGATGTAATCAGTTACTCAAACTTGATATTAAGATTGATGGATTGATTACATCAACTCCAGGCTGAGAGACTGATTACCTCAAAATCTTTCTGATCTTCACCATTCCTCTTTGTTGGACTGATGAAGCCACCATGTGGCAAAACATTTCTACAATAAAGATACCCAAGTGTTGCAAGTGTCTTAATTTATCATCTCGTCAGTTCTCTGAACCATTTATCTACTTAGGGCATCATTTAAGAGTGACCAATGTCCTAGGACTGAAATGTATCAAATAATGATATCCTAAATATGCACTTTCTTTCCTTTAATCCAGTTATCATCATTTAATCCAGTCAGTATCATTTAATCCTTCAGTATCACAGCATGCATGGCTGACTGTGACTATCTTGTCGATGTTAACATTTTTTTAATTTAGCAGATATACAGTGTACTAGTTAAATTTATTTAAAGATGTGATTTATTTACTTATTTTATTTTAATCAGAGGAAAGCACTAAGCTCGCATAGGTCATATAGTGCCTGGGAAATGGAAGCATTCAGATCCGATCCAAGGGAAGGATAACTCGTTTCTTGGATCAAGTGCTCCTCACTGGCACCCGTCTTCCTTGATGTCAAAGTTTTCTTGACTCGCTGAATGGAGGATTCGAACAATTGCAAGTCAATCCTAAAATCAGCAGCCCAGTGTGCTCCATTCAGAGTTGTTTAGAATTGTGGAATTACAGTTCTGAGTCATTTGTAAAAGATTGTTTATGGTTGTACTGTATATGCATTGCATCTTAGCTTGTTGGTTTTAAACAAAAAAGACTTAGTTTTATTTTGCTTAACTGTTTCAGTTCTTCCCCATTTGTCTGATTTCAAATTCTGCACAAATAGCTTCAAAAATAGCTTTATTCTCTTATATACAAGTTTAGACACCTACTAACAATATTCAGCAAGAGCAAAGTATGGGTGGAAAGTTCATTGCAAACTACCAAGCATTGTTGCAGTGTGCATTAATGTGATGTTCACAAAGTGCTAAACCCAAATGGGTCATAAAACATATAATCTTTGATCTTGCTATGAACAACCATTATGAGGAATTACCAAAATACAAATAATTGTGGTAATTTATTAACAAAAGAATAAAACTGTCTAATAAAAGTTGTAGATTAATAAAGTCATCTTTTCATAATAAATTTTTCCTCCCCTTCAAAAGAGATTTTTTTTTGCAATTTTTTTTTTACACAAAATTTTGTCTTAAATATTATGATTATACACCACCAAACTTTTTAACCTTTAAAAGTGCAGGTGGCAGTTTATCAATGAGCTGAAGAGGGTTTAATTCTACACTCACTAAAGATTCTTTTTTGACATGCGTAAAATATACAATCTGATTTGATCTTTGCACGAAAGATAAGGCCGCTGTAGTTCTTGAATTTCCAACACTGTTAGACAAGTTACTAAAACTCTGGTTAAGAACAGGGTTATTACGCCTTATTTTTCCTGGTTTACTGACTTCCTCGTTCATTATTGCTTTAGTTTTATCAATAACTATTATAGATGAATCATCATGGAGAAAAATCAGATTGGTATGGCAAGCATCAAAGCTCACATTGTGAATCACAGAGTTTTTCTTTGTCAAGTCTGAGCAATGGGTGTGCAGAAATTTTCGACAGAAATCAGTGTATTTCTGGGTGGCAAGACTATACTCTTTTATCATCATATCTGCATACACCACCACAATATCTCTAGTGGAAGGGTGAACCCCAATGGCTGTCACTGGGGAGCTGTAACATGGTAGGACACTGCTGTTGTTTTTTCCAAGGTCAAATGCAGTTACAGTGTGCTGATTATCTACAACAACCAAAACGCTTCCGTCTGGATTGGAGTTCATCTGGATAACAGTGCAATCTGGTTTGAGGTGAAGTTCTTTCTCCAAAGAAGCCTCCATCTCTGATACAGTGATGACCTAGAAATGACAGAAAGATAAGCAATAATTAAAAATTATGAACAAATAGTCCGCACAAATTCCTCATTATCATCATTATTGCCTTATTTCTCACTCTTGAAGGCAGAATGACATTTGATTAAGATAAGAGTACTGTAGGAAGTAGAAGTTGAAGATACTAAAGATAACAGAAGTATGGTCATGAGCTGACAAGTAGTGAAATAAAAAAAAAAAACAGCATAAGGACACCTTTTATTATAATGAAGTCCCACCTACAAGAGGCTTTGTCAAATACAGGAAGCATGCAAACATATACAGTTTTGTAACACACCAGCCGTCTCCCACCAAGGTAGGGTTACCCGAAAGAGAAGAAACACTTTCATCATCACTCATTCTATCAGTCTTGCCAGAGGTGCACCAATACTACAGTTCAAAATGGCAAATATCCCTGCCCCTCCTTCAGAGTGCAGTCACTGTACTTCCCACCTCCGGGACTCTAAGTTCAGCTATCTGATTTCGCTGAAGCCCTTCATAAATATTACCATGCTCACACTTCTATCTAACATACTCACACAAGCTTGCTGGATGTCCAAGCATACAAAACCTTCTTTACCCTCTCCCTCCAACCTTTCCTACAATAACCCCTAGTCTGCATTCCCTCCACTACAGATTTATATTCCCTCAAAGTCATCCTATTTTGTTCCACCCTCCCTAAATGTTCAAACCACCTTAACAGCTCCTCTACAGCCCTCTGAATAATACTTTTAGTAACCCCTGCACCTCTTCTTAATCTCCATAATATATAGTATAGTATATCATGCAGTCAGATGGAGATTGAACAATGAAGAATGTTTTCTTTGGGTCACCAAAGAAAACTGCAACTTGTCTGAAAGCATAAAAATTACAGTACCAACAGATTTCCAACATATAAGAATTACCTGAATAACTCCATTAGTGGCAGCAGAAGCTAGCCGTGCTTCACCAAGCCACAGAACTTGCCAGCTATTTTCAATATCCTTACTCATCACTCTCACTCGTCGAACACTTGCTTGACTGCCAGGCTGGTGTGAAAAAAAAGAAGAAAAACTTGTTACAAATCAGTGCATTAGAAATAGGTTCACCAAACACTGATAACCCTGCAACAGCTAAATGTGAACCTAAGATCAAAAATGAAACATAACAATCTGCAATCTATATGTCAAAACACCATTCCAAGAAATGGGAAAATAATTGGCAAAAGCTTTTCAAAGTTGCTAGGAACTCACTGTGAATGCAAGATTGGGGAAAATCAGTACAAATGTAGAGCTCACATATAACAGTAGAAGCATGGAAAGAAGTGAGAAAGATTTAGTATACACTTTATTTTCCTGCAAAGAAAATACAAGCTTTAAAAGCTTTTTTCCCTATATTTTTTGCCATGTATATATTACCATTGGTGGGTAAAATTGAAAGATTCTGAGGTTTCCTTTTACAATATAGGCAATCCAGAGAGCCTGAGGGGACACAGCACACCAGTCTATCACCTCATCTTCACGTGCCTGAACTTCCAAGAGTTTAACGCGGTCCTGAAAAGAAATAAAGGATGATTAAAAACTGAAACTGAATTATCAATAAATAAAATTAATAATAATAGCAGTTTGGAGGGATATGTTGTGTATCTCTATACGTATATGCTTCTAAACTGTTATATTCTGAGCACCTCTGCAAAAGCAGTGATAATGTGTGAGTGTGGTGAAAGTGTTGAATGATGATGAAAGTATTTTCTTTTTGGGGATTTTCTTTCTTTTTTTTGGGTCACCCTGCCTCGGTGGGAGACGACCGACTTGTTGAAAAAAAAAAAAAAAAAAAAAAAAACTATACTGAATAATTCACCCTGCCTCAGTGAGAGGAGGCCAGCGTGTAAAAAAAAAAAATTATGCAGGATACATTAAGGGCAACAGAATGAAGATAAGAAAATTTAAGAGCCACAAAACGGTGATTTTATTTTTTCTTATTGTTTTTAACATGCTGACCATCTTCCACCAAGGCAGGGTGACCCAAAAAAGAAACACTTTCACCATCATTCACACAATATCACTGTCTTTGCAGTGATGCCCAAATATGACAGTTTAGATGTCACTCCAAAATGCCAATATTCCAAACCCCTCCTTTGAAGTGCATGCATTGTACTTAAATTACACTACGAAATTAATAATTACATTCTGGAAGTCTTTGTCTCTATTGGACATAAGCCAGCTTATTAAGTATCACACCCACTTTGCATCCAGAATTGAGCTGGAATTTAATCCAAATACTGGACTGAAGAGGAGGCCAGTTTACCTTACGTTGGATCTTTCAGCCAGCTTCGAGACAATGATTATGTAGCAGTCCTGCAGAGCTTGGACAAGGCAAAGAATTGAACCCCCAGAAAGGTCTTGAATTGTGAGGTTTATCAGAAAGCAATATGAATATTAGACTTTCCTATTCTTAAGAATTTAGTAGACAATCAATGAAGTAGATTATAAGTCACAAGACAGTTGATTCAAAGGGTTGAAGGTAAAAGTTTGTAAAATTCAGTAACCATACTTACATGAGAGAGAGGCAAGAATTGACCAGCTGATCGACTATCCTGGCAAGATTTCCCTAGCCGCCATAGCTCCAGGTGATCTCTGTAGCGAAGAAGAAGAGATTCTGCCTCTCCAGCAACTGATATAGATCCAGGCTAAAAGATAATAGTGGTATTTATCACACACAAACATCAATAAAATTAAATACGACTTTTTAACAAAAACTATGAAAAATTACTTTATACAATGATGACTCGGACTTACGACGGAATCTCTGACCAGCATGCATACCTAAATAATGTATATTAGAGCTGATTACCTCTATTCTGTTTATTACAATATACAGTACACTACTGTATAAACATTTAAAAATATACTAAAAATTTTTATAAATGGCGGAAAGGTGATATTAAAGCAATATCAAAGATGGTTGACACAAACCCACTACCATTATAGTATTCTCCTTGCTTAGTGACGAATTCATTAATCAACGTGGTCTTAGGAACAGAACTCCGTCGTTAAGTGAGGAGAGGGTGTATACACATGCACACACTTTTACATGAAAATGCTTAATTAGCTGCAGCTGCAAATATTTTTTCTAAATCTGATGGAAAACAAGAAGAGTGCAGAATTGAAAAGCTTGTCATATGTTTGTGAAATATACTATAACAGGACAAACATAAAATAAAAGAAACAAATATAATTAAGTGAGAAGTTGCATCGAAAATGAGAAAGGTCACAGCAAGCTTAACCCTAGAATAAGGCCTTCACCAGTGCTCATCAAGGTTAAAATAGCAATACTGAATTTTTCTAAATATAAGCCTGAAACACCACTGCCACAAACTTACATGAGGAAGTGCTGGGAATTTAATTACAGTCTTCGGAGGATAGTAACTCAAGGCAAGGATCGTATCCACACCTGTTCATGAGAATTTACATTAGCAAATAAAAAAATTAATGATACAAACCTAACAAAAGCTTAACCTTTTCTGACTGATAATGCATATGGAAAACTTAATTTGAGATTCTCTGGCTTCTAGCATTTAAATATAAAAAGAAAGCAAATAAGAACATGTTTGTACTTGACAGGGAAAAAGACAACCTGCAGTTCAGTATGCAGATCACTCAGCTCATAACTGAAAGGTCCTGGATATTAATCTTGAGCACCACTGAGTGGGAAACTTTACCATTTCAGAGCCATATTTCAAATCCAGTATGGCACTTACAAGTTGTCTGTTTGCCTAAACATACTCTCCAGAGATACAGGCAGAGATACTAAAATGTTTTACGTCTGGTCTATAACAGCATAAATTAGGATTCTGTAGTGAAAAAGAGAACTGTACAGTCCCTATACATCAAACTTTTAATATACATGTATATTTTTACTTATATTTTTATTTTTATATTTTCATATTTTATATTTTTATATTTTTATTTAGAGGGAGTAGGTTGGTAGACAGCAACCACCCAGGGAGGTACTACCGTCCTGCCAAGTGAGTGTAAAACGAAAGCCTGTAATTGTTTTACATGATGGTAGCATTGCTGGTGTCTTTTGTCTGTCTCATAAATATGCAAGATTACAGGCATGTCTTGCTACTTCTACTTACACTTAGGTCACACTACACATACATGTACATGTTTATTTATACACACTCATCTGAGTTTTCTTTGATTTTATCTTAATAGTTCTTGGTCTTATTACTTTTCCTTTTATATCCATGGGGAAGTGGAATAAGAATCTTTCCTCCGTAAGCCATGCGTGTTGTAAAAGTCAACTAAAATGCTGGGAACAATGGGCTAGTAACCCCTTTTCCTGTAAAGATTACTAAAAAGAATAAGAAGAAGAAAATTGTCAAAGTGGGAAGTCTGAATGTGCGTGGATGTTGTGCAAATGATAAGAAAGAGATGATTGTGGATGTTATGAATGAGAAGAAACTGGATGTCCTGGCTTTAAGTGAAACAAAGCTGAAGGGGGTGGAAGAGTTTCAATGGAGAGGAATAAATGGGATTAGGTCAGGGGTTTCAAATAGAGTTAGAGCTAAAGGAGTAGTAGCAATAATGTTGAAGGATAAGCTATGGCAGGAAAAGAGGGACTACAAATGTATAAATTCAAGGATTATGTGGAGTAAAATAAAGATTGGATGTGAAAAGTGGGTTAGAGTAAGCGTGTATGCACCTGGAGAAGAGAGAAGTGTAGAGGAGAGAGAGTGATTCTGGGAAATGTTGAGTGAATGCGTGGGGGGTTTTGAATCAAGTGTGAGAGTAATGGTGGTTGGGGATTACAATGCTAAAGTGGGTAAAAATGTTATAGAGGAAGTAGAAGGTAAATTTGGGATGCCAGGGGTAAATGTAAATGGGGAGCCTTTAATTGAGCTATGTGTAGAAAGAAATATGGTAATAAGTAATACATATTTTATGAAAAAGAGGATAAATAAATATACAAGGTATGATGTAGCATGTAATGAAAGTAGCTTGTTAGATTATGTATTGGTGGATAAAAGGTTGATGGGTAGGCTCCAGGATGTACATGTTTATAGAGGGGCAACTGATATATCGGATCATTATTTAGTTGTAGCTACAGTTAGAGTAAGAGGTAGATGGGAAAAGAGGAAGGTGGCAACAACAAGTAAGAGGGAGGTGAAAGTGTATAAACTAAGGGAGGAGGAAGTTCGGGCGAGATATAAGCGACTATTGGCAGAAAGGTGGGCTAGTGCAAAGATGAGTAGTGGGGGGGTTGAAGAGGGTTGGAATAGCTTTAAAAATGCAGTATTAGAATGTGGGCAGAAGTTTGTGGTTATAGGAGGGTGGGGGCAGGAGGAAAGAGGAGTGATTGGTGGAATGATGAAGTAAAGGGTGTGATAAAAGAGAAAAAGGTAGCTTACGAGAGGTTTTTACAAAGCAGAAGTGTTATAAGAAGAGCAGAGTAATATGGAGAGTAAAAGAAAGGTGAAGAGAGTGGTGAGAGAGTGCAAAAGGAGAGCAGATGAAAGAGTGGAAGAGGCACTGTCAAGAAATTTTAATGAAAATAAGAAAAAATTTTGGAGTGAGTTAAACAAGTTAAGAAAGCCTAGGGAAAGTATGGATTTGTCAGTTAAAAACAGAGTAGGGGAGTTAGTAGATGGGGGGAGAGGGAGGTATTAGGTAGATGGCGAGAATATTTTGAGGAACTTTTAAATGTTGAGGAAGAAAGGGAGGCGGTAATTTCATGCACTGGCCAGGGAGGTATACCATCTTTTAGGAGTGAAGAAGAGCAGAATGTAAGTGTGTGGAGGTACGTGAGCATTACGTATGAATGAAAGGGGGTAAGCAGCTGGAACTGATGGGATCATGACAGAAATGTTAAAAGCAGGGGGGGATTATAGTGTTGGAGTGGTTGGTACTTTTGTTTAATAAATGTATGAAAGAGGGGAAGGTACCTAGGGATTGGCGGAGAGCATGTATAGTCCCTTTATATAAAGGGAAAGGGGACAAAAGAGACTGTAAAAATTATAGAGGAATAAGTTTACTGAGTATACCAGGAAAAGTATACGGAAGGGTTATAATTGAAAGAATTAGAGGTAAGACAGAATGTAGGATTGCGGATGAGCAGGGAGGCTTCAGAGTGGGTAGGGGATGTGTAGATCAAGTGTTTACATTAAAGCATATATGTGAACAGTATTTAGATAAAGGTAGGGAAGTTTTTATTGCATTTATGGATTTAGAAAAGGCATATGATAGAGTGGATAGAGGAGCAATGTGGCAGATGTTGCAAGTATATGGAATAGGTGGTAAGTTACTAAATGCTGTAAAGAGCTTTTATGAGGATAGTGAGGCTCAGGTTAGGGTGTGTAGAAGAGAGGGAGAATACTTCCCGGTAAAAGTAGGTCTTAGACAGGGATGTGTTATGTCACCATGGTTGTTTAATATATTTATAGATGGGGTTGTAAATGAAGTAAATGCTAGGGTGTTTGGGAGAGGGGTGGGATTAAATTATGGGGAATCAAATTCAAAATGGGAATTGACACAGTTACTTTTTGCTGATGATACTGTGCTTATAGGAGATTCTAAAGAAAAATTGCAAAGGTTAGTGGATGAGTTTGAGAATGTGTGTAAAGGTAGAAAGTTGAAAGTGAACATAGAAAAGAGTAAGGTGATGAGGGTATCAAATGATTTATATAAAGAAAAATTGGATATCAAATTGGGGAGGAGGAGTATGGAAGAAGTGAATGTTTTCAGATACTTGGGAGTTGACGTGTCGGCAGATGGATTTATGAAGGATGAGGTTAATCATAGAATTGATGAGGGAAAAAAGGTGAGTGGTGCATTGAGGTATATGTGGAGCCAAAAAACTTTATCTATGGAGGCAAAGAAGGGAATGTATGAAAGTATAGTAGTACCAACACTCTTATATGGATGTGAAGCTTGGGTGGTAAATGCAGCAGCGAGGAGACGGTTGGAGGCAGTGGAGATGTCCTGTCTAAGGGCAATGTGTGGTGTAAATATTATGCAGAAAATTCAGAGTGTGGAAATTAGGAGAAGGTGTGGAGTTAGTAAAAGCATTAGTCAGAGGGCAGAAGAGGGGTTGTTGAGGCGGTTTGGTCATTTAGAGAGAATGGATCATATAATGGAGCATATAAATCTATAGGGGAAGGAAGGAGGGGTAGGGGTTGTCCTCGAAAGGGTTGGAAAGAGGGGGTAAAGGAAGTTTTGTGGGCTAGGGGCTTGGACTTCCAGCAAGCGTGCATGAGCGTGTTAGATAGGAGTGAATGGAGGCGAATGATACTTGGGACCTGACGATCTGTTGGAGTGTGAGCAGGGTAATATTTAGTGAAGGGATTCAGGGAAACCGGGTATGTTCATATAGTCGGACTTGAGTCCTGGAAATGGGAAGTACAATGCCTGCACTTTAAAGGAGGGGTTTGGGATATTGGCAGTTTGGAGGGATATGTTGTGTATCTTTATACGTATATGCTTCTAAGTTGTTGTATTCTGAGCACCTCTGCAAAAGCAGTGATAATGTGTGAGTGTGGTGAAAGTGTTGAATGATGATGAAAGTATTTTCTTTTTGGGGATTTTCTTTCTTTTTTGGGTCACCCTGCCTCGGTGGGAGACGGCCGACTTGTTGAAAAAAAAAAAAAATTACTTTAAAAATAACTGCAAATTAGTTGTTGAAATATATTAAAACAATTATGCAAATGGGATTCAGATTCAGATTCTGAAATGTAAATTTTTACATACAAAAAAATACACACACTAAAACATTAACTGCCAGTACATTAGAGAGCTGGCTAGTGTATACAGTACTGTGCTGTATTTGTAGAACAATGCATAAAAACTCACTGCCAACTCACCGCCAGAGTAAATTTTGTCGTCACTGTTGAGAGCCAATGCACGCACATCATGTGTGTGTATTGAGCGCTGAATTGACTTTACCCAGCACTCCTTTCTACCCTTTTTTGCCCCAGTTTCAATATGGGTTACCTGCACAATGACTGGATCTACACCTGTAAAGAATAATAAATTCATTTTACTGGTATCAATAAGGGCCAGAGATGCAGAAGCAGAGAGACCAGCAGAAGAACATCTATGGTGGTCATATGACAGATTACAGTGCTGACAAATATGTGACAATAAATGACACACAAGGACAAGCCTTTATGGTCAACTAAGTTTTCTCAGGCCAAAAGAAACACTGTCTACAATAACAAAGTGTGTACTCGGTATGTGTTGTGTGTTGCTTCACAGCATCTGTGGTGTATGATATTATATAGAATATGATGTTAGGGAAAGATGGATAGTATGACTGAGGCTCTTGGTATTGAGCAGTTTTTACAATTGTATTATCATGCTGACGGAATGCCAAAATTTTTTGTCATGCATTTTTAGCTTGAAAGACATTTAGCAGATCAGAAAATTATTTTATCTTTCATCAATCATAGTATGTTTGGGACTATTAGTTACAAGAAGGTGGGATCATCAAAGGGAAGAGAAAGTACAAGTGTGAAGGCAGTGAAGAAAGTGTCTGCAACCCAGTTGGCTCCTACTGTCTGATGAATGAGACAATCCAACAAGAAATGTAGGATGGTCTGTATAACCTGACAATTACCAGAGAGTAGATTCAAGAAACAAAATTAGCAAATGACAATCAGAATGAGAGCCATCATAATAACTCAGTACATCAATTAGCATTAATTTCACATATTTCATATTACATACTATTAGTATTGTATAGCTTGTTATTATAGTACTGCATAGCATTAAAATGGCATTCTTAAGAGTACAACAGGAGTTTACCTTTAGATTTGCCTGTTGTTTAGTTTACCTTAAATTAATTTATAAAATTCAATAATTTTATTAAGCTTGTCTTCAAGTTAGATATTTCTGGAAGTGTGCATAATATAAGGTCTTCATAAACCATTTAGGATAATAAGGTGAAATTCCATTATGTAAACTGTTTTGCATTAATATATGTTGTATGACCCTGTACAGGCAATACAGCAACTGGAGAATGGAAGGTGATGAGGACTGATTCAAGGAAGGAAAAAGCAGTTCAAATTCCTTGGAGGAGCAGCCCTTTACCAGCAAATAGTGTATTTATTGCTAATAAAGTCATTAAAAGTACTGGTAGATAGGAATCTAATTCTGCCAGTATGCCGAGGTAGCGTAGCCCCTTAACAAGGCACAAAAACCTCCCTCTCTTTTCATTAATTTACACATTATGTAACTGCTGTATCTTTGTACAGTGGACCCCCACTTTACAATCAGCTCCCAATGCGACCAATTATGTAAGTGTATTTATGTAAGTGCGTTTGTACGTGTATGTTTGGGGGTCTGAAATGGACTAATCTAATTCACGATATTCCTTATGGGAACAAATTCGTTCAGTAATGGCACCTGAACATACTTCTGGAATGAAATAATATCGTAAACCAGGGGTCCACTGTATTTGTGATCTGATCTTTGTGGTTAGAGTACTGGCTATTCTTAGTGGATAAACATGGCAGTAGTAGTAACTTACCAGCTACATAAACTGACTTCTGATCAGAACACACTGCTAGACAGAGAACACCTGCTTGATGAGTCTGCACTGTGTCTGTAATTGTGCCCAATTCTGCATTCCAAAAACATGTTTTTCCTCTGTAAACACAAAGAACATTTTATCACTCCAATTTACTGAACAAAAATATATCTACTTAATATCTGTAACAGAAGGAATTAAGGTAATTGCTATATTTCATAAAGACAGCAGGTAATTACTCCATAGGGAAGTGGAAAAGAATTCTTCCTCTGTAAGCTGTGTGTGTTGTAAGAGGCGACTAAAATAACAGGAGCAAGGGGCTAGTAACCCCTTCTGTATAAATTACTAAGTTTAAAAAGAAAAACTTTTGTTTTTTTCTTTTTACATCACCCTGCCTCGGTGGGACACAGCTGGTTTATTAAAAAAAAAAAAAAAAGGTATTCAATGTTAAAGCATATATACTTCCTGAAGATAAAACTACAGTACTGTGGAATTTGACTGGTTAGATAACATATGAAGGAACCTAATCATATTAGATACTAAAAGTTGTAAATATACAAATTTTCCTGATAATCAGGGACTTAAAACAACTCCCTCATGTAAGCACAAAATATCATTAGCTTAAATCTAAGTGATTAAAACATAGTATGTATAGTGAACATCTTGTTAACATTGCTTTAATTTTTTTTTTCAACAAACCGGCCATATCCCACTGAGGCAGGGTGGCCCAAAAAGAAAAACTAAAGTTTCTCTTTTTAAATTTAGTATTTTATACAGGAGAAGGGGTTACTTGCCCACTGCTCCCAGCATTTTAGTCTCCTCTTACGACATGCATGGCTTATGGAGGAAGAATTCTGTTCCACTTCCCCATGGAGATAAGAGGAAATCAACAAGAACAAGTACTAGTAAGAAAAAAGAAGAAAACCCAGAGAGGGTGTGTATATATATACTTGTACATGTACATGTAATGTGACCTAAGTGTAAGTAGATGTAGCAAGACATACCTGAAATCTTGCATGTTTATGAGATAAAGAAAAGACACCAGCAATCCTACCATAATCTAAAACAAGTACAGGCTTCTGTTTTACACTCACTTGGCAGAACAGTAATACCTCCCTGGGCAGTTGCTGTCTACCAACCTACTGCCTAAGATTGTTTTAAATATACATACAGTGGTACCCTGAGTTTCGGCCATAATTCGTTCCAGAAGGCTGTTCGAGTGCCGCTACCGAACAATTTGTTCCCATAAGGAATAATGTAAGTTAGATTAGTCTGTTTCAGACCCCCAAAAATACACTTACAAAAGCACTTACAATAATTCACCTTACATAATTGTTCGAGCTGGGAGCCATATGAAACTCGGGGTACCACTGTATATCTATCTTTCAACACACCAGCCATATCCCACCGAGGCGGGGTGGCCCAAAAGGAGAAACGAAAGTTTCTCCTTTTACATTTAGTAATATATATACAGGAGAAGGGGTTACTAGCCCCTTGCTCCCGGCATTTTAGTCGCCTCTTACAACACGCATGGCTTACGGAGGAAGAATTCTGTTCCACTTCCCCATGGAGATAAGAGGAAATAAACAAGAACAAGAGCTAGAAAGAAAATAGCAGAAAACCCAGAGGGGTGTGTATATATATGCTTGTACAAGCATGTGTATTGTGACCGAAGTGTAAGTAGAAGTACCAAGACGTACCTGAAATCTTGCATGTTTATAAGACAGAAAAAAGACACCAGCACTCCTACCATCATGTAAAACAATTACAGGCTTTCATTTTACACTCACTTGGCAGGAGGATAGTACCTCCCTGAGCAGTTATATATACAGTGGACCCTCGAATTTCGGCAGCATCGACTTTCGTGAAATCCGACTTTCAGCAAGTTTTTTTTGGCAAAATTTGGCCTCGCGGTTCGTGATCAGACTTGTGATTCGGCAACCGTCCAGTACCCATCCGCCTGTCACCGTGCACACAAATCCAGTCTCCCACGCCATTCACGCTCAGTGTGCCATTGTTTACCAACACGTGACCATCACCCCGCGGGTTCATACGTAATAATCCATTATTTTTTGTGATTGCAACTGCTAAGTAAGTCACCATGGGCCCAGGGAAAGCTAGTGCAAGCCCTTTGGCAAAGAACGTGAGGAACACGATCGAATTCAAGAAGGAAATCATTGAAAAATATGAGAGTGAAGAGTGTGTTACAGAGCTTGCCAGGATGTATGGCAAACCCCACTCAACCATCACTTCGATCGTGGCGACAAAAAGGATATCACAAATCCTTGAAGAAGTGGAGAGGTTATTGTTGGTGTGGATTACCAAAACACAGTTAGCAGGAGATAGTGTTACTCAGTCGATAATATGTGAAAAGGCAAGGCAGTTGCATGACGATCTTGTAAAGAAAATGCCTGCAACAAGTGGTGATCCTTGTGATTTTAAGGCCAGCAAAGGTTGGTTTGAGAGATTTAAGAAGCATAGTGGCATTCACAGTCTGATAAGGCATGGTGAGGCTGCCAGTTCTGACAAAATTGCAGCTGAGAAGTTTGTACAGGAGTTTAAGGAGTGCATAGACACTGGAGAATTCAAACCCCAATGTGTTTGTGACGAAACAGGCCTCTTTTGGAAGAAAATGCTAGAGGACCTACATCACGCAGGAGGAAACGGCACTCCCAGGACACAAGCCTATGAAGGATAGGCTTACTCATGTTTTGTAGTAATGCTAGTGGGGATTTTAAAGTGAAGCCTTTACTGGTGTATCACTCTGAAAATCCCAAAGTGTTCAAGAAAAACAGTGTCACCAAGAGTAATTTGTGTGTGATGTGGAAGGCTAACAGTAAGGCATGGGTCACAAGGGATATTTTCCAAGACTGGTTTAATGAAGTGTTTGGCCCCAGTGTGAAGAAATACCTCCTGGAAAATAAACTGTCACTCAAGTGCCTCCTGGTAATGGACAATGCTCCTGCTCATCCTCCAGACTTGGAAGAGCAAATAGTGGAGGAGTTTAGTTTCATCACGGTGAAGTTCTTGCCCCCTAATACAACTCCTCTCCTCCAGCCCATGGACCAGCAGATCATTTCAAACTTCAAAAAATTCTACACAAAAGCAGTGTTTCAAAAGTGCTTTGAAGTGACCTCAGACACAGAATAGACCCTAAGAGAGTTCTGGAAAGATCACTTTAATATCCTCCATTGTATAAACCTTATAGGTAAGTCTTGGGAGGGAGTGACTTCCAGGACTTAGAACTCTGCTTGGAGAAAACTGTGGCCAGATTGTGTAGAAGAGAGGGAATTTGAAGGGTTTGGGGCTGACCCTAAGGAGCCTATGCCAGTTGTGGAGTCTACTGTGGCATTGGGGATGTCCCTGGGGTTGGAGGTGAGTGGTGAGGATGTGGAAGAGTTGGTGGAGGACCACAGGGAAGAGCTAACCACTGAAGAGCTGCAAGAGCTTCATCTGCAACAGCAACAGATCACAGCTGAGGAAACTGCTGCAGAGGAGGAGGAAGAAGAGAGATGGAGGAAGGTGCCTTCTTCAAAGATTAAGGACATTTGTGCAAAGTAGACTGAAGTGCAAACATTTATGGATGAACTTCACCCTAAAAAAGTTGTTGCAGGCTGTATTGGCAACATGTACAATGACAGTGTCGTGTCCCACTTCAGACAAATCTTAAAGAAACGCCAGAAACAGAGCTCTCTGGACATATATCTTGTGCGACAGGGTTCCAGTGACTCAAGTTGTTCCCAGTGCCAGTGTCTTTAAAAAATAAAGAAGGGAAGTAACCCCAGATAAGGACTTCATACCTGAAGTCCTAATGGAAGGAGATTCTCCTTCCAAACAATAGTGTACACCTTCCTCCTATCACCTCCTCCCATCTTCCATCCACCCAGAAGTCTTCAATAAAGGTAAATGTAATGTTATTATTATTTTTTATATGCATGTACTTGATTTCTCATTGTTTTCAGTATGTAAATCTTTATTTAATTTGAAAAAAAAAAAAAAAAAAAAAAATTATTTTAATATTTTTGGGAGTTTGGAACGGATTAATTTTATTTCCATTATTTCTTATGGGGAAAATGGTTTCGCCATTTGGCAATTTCGACTTTCGGCAGGCTCTCTGGAACGGATTAATCACGAAACTCAGGGGTCCACTGTATGTATATATATATTTTTTTTTTTCAACAAACCTGCCATATCCAACCAAGGCAGGGTGGCCTAAAAAGAAAAATGAAAGTTTCTCTTTTAAAATTTAGTAATTTATACAGGAGAAGGGGTTCCTAGCCCCTTACTCCCGGCATTTTACTCGCCTCTTACAACACGCATGGCTTACGGAGGAAGAATTCTGCTCTACTTCCCCATGGAGATAAGAGGAAATAAACAAGAACAAGAACTAGAAAGAAAATAAAGAAAACCCAGATGGGTGTGTATATATATGCTTGTACATGCATGTGTAGTATGACCTAGGTGTAAGTAGAAGTAGCATGACGTACCTGAAATCTTGCATGTTTCTTCTTTCTTTCAACACACCAGCCGTATCCCACCGAGGCGGGGTGGTCTAAAAGGAAAAACGAAAGTTTCCCCTTTTATATTTAGTAATATATACAGGAAAAGAGGTTACTAGCCCCTTACTCCCGGCATTTTAGTTGCCTCTTACAACACGCATGGCTTACGGAGGAAGAATTCTGTTCCACTTCCCCATGGAGATAAGAGGAAATACACCAGAATAAGAACTAGAAAGAAAATAGAAGAAAACCCAGAGGGATGTGTATATATGTGCTTGTACATGTATGTGTAGTGTGACCTAAGTGTAAGTAGAAGTAGCAAGACATACCTGAAATCTTGCATGTTCATGAGACAGAAAAAAGGACACCAGCACTCCTACCATCATGTAAAACAATTACAGGCTTTCATTTTACACTCACTTGGCAGGAGGATAGTACCTCCCTGAGCAGTTATATATACAGTGGACCCTCGAATTTCGGCAGCATCGACTTTCGTGAAATCCGAGTTTCAGCAAGTTTTTTTTGGCAAAATTTGGCCTCGCGGTTCGTGATCAGACTTGTGATTCGGCAACCGTCCAGTACCCATCCGCCCGTCACCATGCACACAAATCCAGTCTCCCACGCCATTCACGCTCAGTGTGCCATTGTTTACAAACACATGACCATCACCCCGCGGGTTCATACGTAATAATCCATTATTTTTTTGTGATTGGAACTGCTCAGTAAGTCACCATGGGCCCAGGGAAAGCTAGTGCAAGCCCTTTGGCAAAGAACGTGAGGAACACGATCGAATTCAAGAAGGAAATCATTGAAAAATATGAGAGTGAAGTGCGTGTTACAGAGCTTGCCAGGACGTATGGCAAACCCCACTCAACCATCACTTCGATCGTGGCGAAAGGAAAGGAACTAAAGTGTGGTTTTGTTGCAAAAGGGGTAGATATGCTGACAAAAAGGAGATCACAAATCCTTGAAGAAGTGAGAGGTTATTGTTGGTGTGGATACCAAACACAGTTAGCAGGAGATATGTTACTCAGTCGATAATATGTGAAAAGGAAAGGCAGTTGCAGACGATCTTGTAAAGAAAAATGCCTGCAACAAGTGGGATCCTTGTGATTTAAAGGGCCAGCAAAGGTTGGTTTGAGAGATTAAGAACATAGGGGGCATTCACAGCCCTAAAGGCATGGGAGGCTGCCATTCTGACAAAATTGCCAGCTGAGAATTTGTACGGGAGTTTAAGGAGTGCATAGACACTGGAAAATTTCAAACCCCAATGTGTTAAATTGTGACGAAACAGGCCTCTTTTGGAAGAAAATGCTAGAGGACCTACATCACGCAGGAGGAAACGGCACTCCCAGAACACAAGCCTATGAAAGATAGGTTTAAACTCATGTTTTGTAGTAATGCAAGTGGGGATTTTAAAGTGAAGCCTTTACGGGTGTATCACTCTGAAAATCCCAAAGGTTCAAAAAAAACATTTGTCACCAAGAGTAATTTGTGTGTGATGTGGAAGGCTAACAGTAAGGCATGGGTCACAAGGGAAAATTTCCTAGACTGGTTTAATGAAGTGTTTGGCCCCAGTGTGAAGAAATACTTCCGGGAAAAATAAACTGTCACTCAAGTGCCTCCTGGTAATGGACAATGCTCCTGTCATCCTCCAGACTTGGAAGAGCAAATAGTGGAGAGTTTTAGTTTCATCACGGTGAAGTTCTTGCTCCCTAATACAAACTCCTCTCCTCCAGCCCATGACCACAAAACCATTTCAAACTTCAAAAATTCTATAAAAAAGCAGTGTTCAAAAGTGCTTTGAAGTGACCTCCAGACACAGAATAGACCCTAAGAGAGTTCTGCAAAGATCACTTTAATATCCTCCATTGTATAAACCTTATTTGGGAAGTTTTTGGGAGGGAGTGACTTCCAGGACTTAGAACTCTGCTTGGAGAAAATTGTGGCCAGATTGTGTAAAGAGAGGGAATTTGAAGGTTTGGGGCTGACCCTAAAGCCTATGCCAGTTGTGGAATCTATGTGGGATTGGGGATGTCCCTGGGGTTGGAGGTGAGTGGTGAGGATGTGGAAGAGTTTGGGGGAGGACCACAGGGAAGAGCTAACCACTGAAGAGCTTGCAAAAAGCTTCATCTGCAACAGCAACAGATCACAGCTGAGGAAACTGCTGCAAGGAGGAGGAAGAAGAGAGATGGAGGAAGGTGCCTTCTTCAAAGATTAAGGACATTTGTGCAAAGTAGACGAAGTGCAAACATTTATGGATGAACTTCACCTTAAAAAAGTGTTGCAGGGTGTATTGGCAAAATGTAAAAATGACAGTGTCGTGTCCCCCCTTCAGACAAAACTTAAAGAAACGCCAGAAACAGAGCCTCTGGACAGATATTTTGTGCGACAGGGTTCCAGTGACTCTCAAGTTGTTCCAGTGCCGTGTCTTTAAAAAACAAAGATGGGGAAGTAACCCCAGATAAGGACATTCATACCTGAAGTCTTAATGGAAGGAGATTCTCCTTCCAAAACAATAGTGTATCACCCTTCCTCCTATCACATCCACCCATCTTCCTTCCACCAGGTAGTCTTTCAGTAAAGGTAAGTGTATTTTTATTATGTTGTTATTATCACACTGGCCGATATACACCAAGGCAGGCGTGGCCCGAAAAAAGAAAAACTTTACTCCATCATTCACTCCATCACTGTCTTGCCAGAAAGAGGTGCTTTACACTACAGTTTTTAAACTGCAACATTAAACAACCCTCCTTCTGAGTGCAGGCCTCTGTACATCACATCTCAAGGACTAAAGTCGGCTGCCGGTTTCCTGAATCCCTTCATTAATGTTACTTGCTCACACTCCTACACCACGTCAAGTAATTAAAAACCATTTGTACTCCAAGTTTCACTCCTATCAAACACGCTCACGCATGCCTGCTGGAAGTCCAAGCCCCCTCGCAAACAAAACCTCCTTTGACCCCCCTCCCTCAAACCCTTCCTAGGCCGAACCCTACCCCGCCTTCCCTATCCATACAGACTGATCCACTCTTGAAGTCATTTCTGTTTTCGCTACATTCTCTCTACATGTCCAGAGCCACCTCAACACCTTCCTCAGCCCTCTGCGTCAACGTTTTGTTAATCCCGCACCTCCTCCTAACTTCCAAACTACGAATTTCTGCATTATATTCACACCAACATTGCCCTCCAGGACACGAACATCTCCACTGCCTCAGCCTCTCCTCGCCTGCAAACATTCATCACCCCGCTTCGCTCCCATATAAGAGCGTTGGTAAAACTATTACTCTAATACATTCCCCTCTTTGCCCATGTGTGCCATACAAGGACAAAGTCTTTTCTCCACAGACTCCTTAGAGCACCACTCACTCTTTTTACCTCATCAATTCTATGATTCACCTCCATCTTTCATAGCCCATCCGCTGACTCGTCACTCCCAAAATTTCTGAATACGTTCACTCCTCCATACTTCACTCTCCGCCAATCTGATATTAATCTTTCATAAACCTAATCTTTTTGTTATACTCATAAACCTTACTCTTTCCTGTATTTCGCGACACTTTAATTTTCTTCTGTTGCACACACTTACCAAATGATCCACATTCTTCGCAACTCTCTAAATCTCCAAATCGAAGCACAGTGTCATCAGCAAAGGGAGCAGCTAGTGACAAATCCCACTTTTGTGTGTGATTCTTTATCTTTTAACTCCTCGCCTCTTGCCAAGACTCCTCGCATTTTTCTCTTACAACCCATCTATAAATATATTAAACATACCACGGTGACATCACACATCCTTGTCTAAGGCCTTACTTTTACTGGGAAAAAATTCCCTCTTTCCTACATACTCTAACTTGAGCCTCATATCCTCGTTAAAAACTCTTCACTGCTTCAGTAACCTACCTCCTACAACCATACATTGAAACATCTGCCACATTGCCCCCCTTATCCACCCTGTCATACGCCTTTTCCAATCCCATAAATGCCCACAAAATGACCTCTTTAGCTTATCTACTACTGTCACCTTATTTGTTTCACTGTATAAACACCTGGTCCTCACTCCCCCTACCTTTCTATAAGCCTCCTTGTCAGATCTGCTATCCTATTTCCGTCTTATCTTAATTCTTTCAATTATTACTCTACCATACACTTTACCAGGTACAACCTACAACTGACTTACCCCCTATGATTTTTTGCACTCTCTTTTGTCCCTTTTGCCCTTTATACAAAGGAACTATGCCATGCTCTTGCCAATCCCTAGTACCTTACCAATCCTTCCATACAATTTATTTATAATTGCACCACACTCCAAAACAATATCCCCACCTGCTTTTAAATTTCTATCTTTTATCCATCATTCTGGCTGCCTTTCCCCTTTCATTTTACTAATGCCTCACGAACATTCCCACACACTCACAACTGGCTCTTCATCACTCTACAAGATGTTATTCCTCTTGACCTATACCGAAATTCACAGCTTCCCAGTATCTTCATAAAATTTAACAATTCTTCAATATTTTCCCTCATCTTAGCCATACATCTAACTCTCCATTTATTTAGTCTTCCTCTCTATTTTTAACTGACAAATCATTTGTTCTCTAGCTTTCTTACTTTGTTATCTCACTCCAAAAAATTTTTCTTATTTTCAACAAAACTTTGTTGATAACATCTCACCCACTCTCTCATTTGTTTTTTTTTTTTTTTACTCTCTTTATACATCTCATTCACCACTCTCTTAAACTTCTCCTCTTTTTACTCCATATACTCTTCCCTCTTGCATCACTTCTACTTTGTAAAAAACTTCTCGTAGGCTAACTTTTTCTCCTTAATACTCCTCTTTCATCATCATCCACCAATCGTCCTCTTCTCCTCCTGCACCGCTTTCCTGTAACACACAACTTCTGATGAACTCTCCTAACACTACATTTTTTAAAACCTTACCCCATACCTCTTCGACCCCATTGCTTATGCTCTCATTAGCCCTAATCTATCCTCAATAGCAGGTTTATATCTTACCCTAACTTGCCTCTCTTTAGTTTATAAACCTTCACCTCTC